TTTCTTTACCAGTGGGCTGAATACATTCTGTTCGCCGCCTTGCTGGTGTTGGTGTGCATAATCTTTGCCATCATGGCCTACTTCTACACATACATCGATCCGGCAAAGATAGAGGGCAATTTTGCGAACTTGGAGCCTGAAGATGAGAAGAAGAAGAACTTAGAAGTGGCCAAGAAGGACATGGTTGAGAACCACAACGAGAAAAGGAGAAAGAGCTCTAATTCCAGCTCCGATGAGGAAGAAACTTCACAGACCAACTTCTAAATCAAGACCTCTTCCGGCTTCTGGCTTTACGTATACGAAACCTTCTGGGTTCTGTTGGTCATGTCTAAGAGTGTCTGTGATGTTTATCACAGAGACATAAAGATAGAGTATGACCAGGATGGCATGAAGGATCTGAAGCTGGTTGAAAACAGTGGATGGACAGTTCTAGTGTAGGATTCTACTAGGACCAGTTCTCAGATCCCAGCTTAAAATCTAAAGAGAATATGCTATTTTGAAGATGATGTTTGCTTTGACTGTAATTTCTGACCAGTCTTTTGTGGAATTACCCCAAAAACATTCCAATATTTGTATTTATTTCCTAACAGTGTTTTATGTATTGTAGAAAACTATTATGACTCTTCCATATATGTCATGATGGTGATGAACACCCAAAGCTTCCTACTTGGCTAGAAATCCTCCATTGTGCCCTGGTTGGTCAACAGAGTCTGTGAGAAAGATGTTAGAAAGACACTCTCTGTAATAAAAGAAAAGAAAATCTAATGTGCATTAAAATGAGTATTTAGTAAAAATCTCTTGACTGCTGTGGAAATTATTCAACATTTTATGTAGAGAAACCCAGTTTTTAGGCTGTCAAACAGTTGTAAGGGTGGACTGAATTAGCCAACTAGCTAGAACAGATTGAGTTAAATTAGACATGGAGATGAGTTTCAATTAGATCTGGATGTGTCTAATTGGAGAGGCCAATCCAGACATATTAAAATGTTTACACTTTGGAAACTAAGATGAACGACATCTTGTGCATTGTTGTTTTAAAATGGTTGATTTAGTGGTGGCACCAGATTTTTTATTTTTTTTTTCCAACAGATTTTAGGTGGGAGTTTGCCATTTTGTTGTGGGTGCTGCTCCGTGAAGTGATCGATGTTCAATGAATTTCTGTTGAACACATTGTGCTAACAGCAACAGGGAGCCTAAAACATGGACAAACTCTGGCTCATCAATGACGCCATACACCAACAAAACTCAACAATAAGCAACAGAGGGTTCATGAAGGGTTAAAGATACAGATATCAACTTACAGAAGTCTAAAAATTCAATGCTGGATGAAATATGGCAACTCATGATTGTGGTTTATAGTAGCCTCGTCCTCTTATGTCCTTTGAAACATTTGGCAAATCTGGTGGAGCTCTAAATATAAATAACTTACATGTATACATTTAACTATGCATCCACGGGAAATTTGTGTGTGTAGTGAGGGTCAGTGAATTCTTAGGAAGGTCTGACTTGATTGGATGAGAGCTGTTCAATAAGATCATAGTTCGGAGTTTCTAATCAAGCTCAGGTATCTAATAAATCCATGGTGGTGTACTTTTTGAACGCCAGGCGGCGCCTATAAAATGTCCGCTGGCTTTTATTAAACGTGTAGTGACGCCAAATAAACGCCAGGTGGAGCTTTTGGAGGCGCTTACTGTACTTCAGGTAACGCTGGAAAGCAATCCAATTTGACCGTCCAAACACCTGTTAACTATATAAGTGTTTACCTGGCAGAGCTAAGAAATTAATTCTGGATCAATATCTCGTTAAAACAATAAACTTTTTCGTTATGATGACACAGATTTTATATCTAGAGGTAAAATCTGACAGATTACTACGGAGCCCCTAGGGGATATGGAGAATTGCAGCAATTTTTCCATCTCAACACACCTGAGGTTTCCTGGAATGTGATTGGTTGTGAGGAGACTTGGCTTCTAATCAAACTGAGCTCACGCGGGGTGAGGTGTAGGCTAACCATTTATCTGCTCTAAGCCGTGAAAATTTGAAGAAACCACGTCTTCATGAATTGAAACCGTTTCTTTGGATTTTATTATCAAGAAAGTCACGAAGAGGACGAAATATGACGGTAATAGCAAAACACAAGCATGGCGGACACTTGGAAATACGCGGTATAGCTATGTGACGTTTGCTCTCAGTGATTAGCTAGAGCTGTAGGTGTGACCTTACAGGTGAAAAAAAGAAAACGAGGAGCATAGGCATCAAAAATTCATATTTTACATGGGATACAATATTATATGCAGTATAAATATTTCATAATTTTTTAGAGAGATTTAGAGTGCCATATTTAAATGCCCATTTCATGACCAGGCTTGGAGACAAGATAAAATATATTTGTCTGGTTAACAGTAACTTAATTCCTACACACATTTTCTGTTCAAAGTTTTAAATGCAAAATAACTTCACAAATTGTCACATAAATGTTCCTCAAAGAAGTCATGTCAAAAACTTAAATATGACAGTTTTTTTTCCTTTTTTAGTTTGATGTCATACAGTTGAATGCATAAGTTTGAATACACCAAACGAATAGATATTATTCCGTTAGCTAAGTTGGTGTCAAACTACATGCACACTTTGTTTCTGCTTAGAGTGCAAATAAAAATTCAGGTGTAATATCTCTGTAAATATTATTTGGGGAAACCGACAGAATAAAATGGGCTTTCACAAGTGCTGTAGCAAGCATTTCAAGTGCAATGGATGTGAGCATGAGTTTGTGGCCTTTAACCAATTTATACTGCAATTACTTTGAATGGGTCTATCTCTAAAAATCAGTTATGTAAAATTTTCACAGTTGCTCCACAAATAGCATTTGTATACTTAGCTGAATATTAGGCTACAAAATGTAGGTGTTTATTTTATGTTTTACGTTTCTCCTTGGTGCAGTATTTTGAGTTGCTGGTTGTTATTGCTTCATTTTCATCCAACATCGTCTCCTGCTGGGATGGGAAGTGCTGCTCCAGGCAGGTAAGACAAAACTGCACTTGCTGGACACGAAGGAAAACAAACACTGCATACGCGTCACCCTTAGCAGACCATCCACGCCATAAAATATGGTAGTGGCATCTTTATGCTGCAGTGATGCTTTTAAATAGGAAGACGTTAGAATTGATGGAAATGTAAAGTGAGCCAAATACAGGACGATCCTGAATGAAACGCTGTCTCTGCGTTTCCATTACAGATATGCACAAAACTGTCAATATTCCACTAACATAAACACCCCCACAATTTCACAATTGCCACGTTTCCATTGCAGTTTTGTGAAATACACTAATTTCCATACAACTGCAAAATCACCTCATCCTAGCACAAAAACCTTTATTGATAAATGTGGGGGATTTTCTACGAAATTGGCGTGTTTCCATTAAGCAGATTTATTTCTGTAATTCTAATTCGCGTAATTTTATGGTCAATGGAAATGCAGCTACAGGCTAAAGACATGTTAGTTCATCTTCCAAAGGAACAATGACGCCTAAAAAGTACAATAGAACAAAAAAATAGTTCCTGTCAAAGTATGTTTATGTTACTAAGTTGGTGGTGGCTGTGGGGATAAATACAAATCCACACTTTTTAGATTGTTTTGTAAAAAAAAAAAGAAAGAAATAAAGAGTGCACATACATCATGCTAATAAAATCAAAATCTTATGTGCTGCTTTGTTTATGATAAAAGTCCCCCAAAATAAAAGGATGTTTGTGGTGATGAAACAAAATGAGAAAGTGTATGAATATGCTTCTTTATTTGTGCATATGTAAAAGAATTCACTCTTTTATACATGCACAGCAAAGAGACCAAACAAAGTTCTCAGTTAGCATTAGATCTTTATTTCTCATGTCACTTTAAAAGCTTACATTTAACTTGGGAATTTTCAAATGACACAAGCAAAGATTATATACAGTACTATAAATCATCAGCTATAATAAAGGAAATCAAATGTACACATTTTGTTGTTATTTCTGTAGCATATGTTTTTTTTTCTGAAAGGTATAGATTTTTTTTTTTTGCCAGAGGCAGATGCCCATATCCATAAAGCATTCCATATTTCCATACTTAACTCTTTGCTGTTATAAAAATATTGGATATTTCTTAATTTTTCTCAATCCCTGTTTTGACAAGTGCATCTTGATGCGACTCCTCAACATTATTGCTGCAATAGCACAGTAGTAAATTCTGGAACTCTTAAGTAAACATATATATAGTAAAACATGGCTATTAGCAACTGGTTTTGTTTGTTGTTTTTTTATTTTTATTTTTTACTTCCTCTTACAGGAGTCTTTAAATACTCAACACTTTCAAAGTGCACAAAACGGATCTGAAAATTAGAAAAACGAAAAAAAAAAAAAAAAAGGTGCAAATCATACTACTAGTGAAAGCGTCAGAGAGGACATGGCACTTCTATAGCAAGAGGTGAAGATGGACTAGGATGACGTTAAACTGTGCAACTAGGCTTGATTTTGGCCAGAATAAATGATGCGCTTGAGCTCTTGTGGTCAGACACTGGCTGGTACTGGAAGTTCTGGTTTCCAAACCACTAAAATTTTGCGTCAGATTGGTTCTAGGTTGTAAAAAGTCATTTTAATGCAAGTTAAGGGAGAGCGTCTGGTGTTGTCTATGGAGCACAGAGTTCCTGCACTGCTGGTCAACTAGCTTATTTATATAATTTTGTTTTCAACTAGAAAACCCTCTAGGAATAACTTTCTTTTCCGTTTGTTTGGATTTTTTTTGTTCAAATACTAAAGGCAACCATAACCATCCAATGCCGGCCCTTGCCTACTTTTCTTTGCCAGTTTTTCCTCATTTCCACTTTACTTTCTCAATACTGCTAAACTGAAGAAAAAGAAAATACTTCAACTGGTATCAGTTTAATGTGGTTCCTCCCTTGTAACAGTCCACTACCTTTTATTCTAGTCCTAAAGTCTTTCAGTTCCCTAAACATGAATACAGGTAGAGGTTTTTTTCCTTCTGCTTCTTCTACACAAAGTTAACTTAATGATTCTGTAGGATGTTGAAATGAAACACTAAAACTCAGTCGCTTGAAAAAAAAGAAAAAAAAAAAAAAAAAAAAAAAAAATTGCCACCATGTGAAAAACGAAACCAACTAAATCTGCGACGAATGCTAGGACGCTGAAAAAGGCAAGGCATTTTCTGTCAGAGTAACCTTTGAGATGTTTTAAATACCTACGTTGTCTTTAATCAGTATCTACAAAATGCGCATCGACCATTTTGTACACAGTGATTTATTTTCCGCAATGATAACTTGTAATCATGTACAGCATGGCGCCCCCTCCTGCCTCGGAGGACAAAGTCCACTTAAAGCACTTTACCTGAGGTTTCTTTAAGAATGCTGCAATTTGCCTAAACAGGGAGTTTCACAAATGAAACCGAACACACACACACGCACACACACATGCGCACGCACACACACATGCGCACGCACACACAAACACACACACACAGCTTTTAAACTTGGATAACATCCCTGCAGGTTCATCGAGCATGCTCTCATAGGTTCTGGGGATATGACGCCTGCATTTAGAGAACGGGGAGGGTCTGAAGGGAGACTTTCAGCTCCTCATCCAGCAAAATCCATGCAGAGACTCTGTGTGAGGCATGAGGAGTGTCACATGTGCAAAAGCCCAAGGACAGACTTGGCTATTGCTGTTTTTTTTTTGTTTTTCTTTTGCAGCTGGTCGCTCTCACTTTTGAGTCTTTTTTTTCTTTTTCCCCCTGCTGCACCATCGTAGCTTCCAAACATCTTCTTTCAGTAATGGATAAAAGAAGCTCTGCAAAGTGTTTCTGTTCTCCACTTTGGAGTTCAGTCTTTTTTGTTTTTTTTCTTGTTTTTTTTTTAAATAACAGGCTAAGTTAGCGCCCCTCACATGGAGGTCAAATGCAGCCAGCTGGTATTGAATGACTTGACCCTCAACGTTTAACCCTCTGACCTGGCTAGGGTGTTGATGGGATGTGGGGACCTGGGAGAGCAGGTTTGGGGTAGAGAGCCGACCTCTAGGGGGAGGAGGAAGATCTTCTGCTTGTGGAGAAGCTGTAAAAGTAAAACAAAAGGTCAACAACGGAGCAGATGTTCAGCCGCATTCTGTATGAACATGAGTAGAGTGGTTACCTCTGGAGCCTCTGCACCATGTGAGCCACCAGGGAATCGGAGATGCCAGGGTAGGCCTCTTCGGCCAGCAGGATGGCCGCTCTCAGCTCGTCCAGGACCAGGGGGTTCCCGTTCACCTGCTCCTGCCGCGCCTTTAGCTGAGGTGGGAGTCAAAGAGGAAGCATGACCCAACCAGTTCAAACGCTTTGTAAGGGTATCCATACCCGTTAAACTCACATTGTGTGACTTTATAACGAGGAAGGAACCGTATGTTTTCCTCCTAGATATTAAAGTCTCCTAAAGTGCCCCAAAGAATTACCACTGGTCGTTTTTCCATCTCTAGAGAAGTGTCTCACGTAGAGACAGATTTAATATCGTGAACATGCTCGAGGGCCAGCAGTCCTTCCTGCCCCTTGAATCATAAAAGTCACATTAAAATGTAATATTCCACAGCCGGACATTGTTCTACACTTTGCTTCATCCAGAGGGTCTGGACTCTGCTTCCTGGAGGCGTGGACTCTGCTGAGGCTTTAAATGTAACCCAATCACTGATGTTTATTTGTGACGTATGTAATGTCCCAGTGTGACACTGTGAAGCTTACCAGAAATTGCCTGTAAACAACCATCCGCTGTGAAGAAAAAAGTATTGAGTCGAACAAAATGGCTGCAAATGTTATTAACTTAACCATAACCAGTAAAAGCCAATAAATGCCTTTGCTTGTGTAGAATGAAAAGTCTAAGTACACCCATTTAAATAAAAATGAACCTAATTTCATAGTCTCATTTTGCAACAAAAAAAAAAAAAAAAAAAAAATATTACATTTCATTAAATTACATAATAGACTTTTTCAGTGAGCATTGAGGGTTGGATCCTCACCTCGGCTAATGCAGGAGAAATGACCGTGGTCAGGCTCTGTGAATAAGGCCTCCTTGGAATGTCTTTTGTCTGAGGAAAGAAATAAAGAAATTAAAAACCAGTGATGCTTCATATTGTGAGCATTATAAAAATAACTTTTTACAAAAGCATTAGCTGACCTGGTCCGTCCCCCCCGACTGTCCCTCTCCATTCTGTAGTTTCTTGGGGTCCTTTTCTCGGATGGTGAAGATCCAATCATCACTGCCAAAGTCATTCCCACCCGACGCCTGGCCGTCCTGTTCTCTGATTGGACCGACATTTCAAAAGAATTATCAGTACAAGCAAAGAGTCTGATCAGCTCTCAAACTAAATATGAAGGATGAACTTTATTTCCTGCTGAAACGGCAGCACACTTACGAGTCCGACTCATCTGAACTGGACTCTGTAGTTCTGGACTGCTCAGCCTTCCACCTCTTGTACTTGTCCACCAGCTCTGTCAAGTATGACGTCTTCTTCGCATGGCGGACGATCAATTTATGCTTCAGCAGTTCTTTGGCAGTCGGCCTCTGCAGAAAGAGCAAAAAAGAAAGTGAGGCAATGCAGTCTGGAGAAATGAGCCAAAACATACAGAAATAATGCAGAATTATGCTAGACTACATACAAAACTGGGCTCTTTGTTGAGGCAGGCCTCGACAAACTCCTTGAGAGGTTTGCAGTAGTTGCCCTCGAGTGTGGGCGGGTTGTTCTTTGGAATGAGGAATAACACCTTCATGGGATGGAGGTCTGAGTGAGGCGGCTCGCCTTTCGCCAGCTCGATAGCTGTGATTCCAAGTGACCAGATGTCGGCCTGGAACGCGCAGGAGAAATAGGAATAACAGCAGTGCTTTGAAATGATACAGTGTCTTGCACAAGAATGCAAACCCCTTGATGCCTTCTGTTTTCAATGGATTTATTTAGTATTGTCACAAACCAACAAGGGCTAAAACGATTAATCAAATTTATCGCGATTAATTGATAACTTGCTGAAACAACATACTCAGAGCAATAATTAAGTCAAAACTGTACAAAGATTTAAAAAAAAAACACCTTTGCAAATATGCTACCCTGAACTAAAACTTTAGTTGTAAGTTGAAAAATCTGCAGAAAGTACCAATTTTTTTTTAACCTTTTAATCAATAGAATTGATTACTAAAATAATTGTTAGCTGCAGCCCTAAAACCAACTCAAAGTAGTGAGTAACTCTTTCCAGGTGCCAAAGGCTTGCTCTGTTTGAACTCACCTTAGAGTCATACGCGGACTGTTTGATCACCTCCGGGGCCATCCAGAAGGGCGTCCCGACAAAGGTGTTCCGTTTGATCTGAGTGTCTGTGAGCTGGCCCGCTACTCCGAAGTCGGCCAGCTTCACCTCTCCTTGCTCGGACAGCAGCACATTGGCAGCTGTGGACAAACGGAGAGCGTTAACGGTGAAAAAACTCTTGGTCTTTACAAAGCTGTCCGTCTACATCGATTTGGCATCAAACAGAATTCTCAGGTGAAACGCAGACTGTATAATGAATGAAGGCTTAAGTGGATGTCTATAACATTAATGCGCAATATGATATTCGCGTGTATGCACTCTCTAAAGCCATTTAGTCAGCTACCTTTAATATCTCTGTGGATCTTCTTCTCCGAGTGCAAGTACTCCAGACCCTTTAGGATCTCTCTGAGGATTGTGGCAATCTGAGTCTCATCTAATGCGCCGGGCTCCATCTGTGACAGGAAAACAAACAGAGACACATGGCCATCGGGAACTTTACTCGTTTCACTAAATGGTGGCAATATGTGTAGATAAAATTCTAAGCTAGCTTGGATTTGGTGGGATGTATTAATAGTAGTGGGCATAAAAAGTTATTGCATACTTGCAGATTTCACCGCTTTGGTGTTTTTTTGTCACAACTAAATGTGACAAATGTGACAAAACAATGTGGCAAAGATTACCAGAGTAATTTTAAATACAAAATTTAGTTTAAATTATATTTCTATTTAATAGAAAAAAGCTAGCCATATCAACACAAATATGATAAATCTTCAGTTTTTAAATCCTAACTCAACTGTGATTTATTTTTTTTTGTACCATTTCATTAGCCAAACTACGGTTAGATTACCAGACCTGTATAGTTAAAAAACTACTTAAGTAGAAGATGTCAGACAACATGAAGTAGGCCAAACATAAAATCCCAATAAGCAACACCATGCCCTGATCTAAAGAAATTCAAGTTGAGAACAAAGTCATTGACATGTGTAAGTACAACTCAAAGAGAAAATATCTGGATTGTTCAAAGTCCTCTTTGACTTTGACTAATGACCAGCCTAGGCATGCTAGTCACTTTCATTCAGATCAGTAGCTAGCTTTGCAATGGATATAACCTCCTGCGACAAAGACATAACACTAGGGGCAGGATACTCTCAATTCTGGCTAGAAATTGAGAGTTGAGATACAAATGTTTAAGTTTTTTCCCCTCCAAACTACATAGACTACCCAATGTTTGAGCTCTAGGTTTGCTAGGAACTTAAAGCAGCAATACTTTAGACCCCTTTTTATTTATTTATTTTTTTAGGTTACAACATGCAGCCCTATTTGTAACAACTTCCTAATGTCTTTGAAGCACAAACCTCTGCAAATAGCTTTAGACTCTGTCACTAATCTGCCATCTGAGTTTTGTTGAATTTCAGTAAAAAGAAAAGGACAAACAAAGTAGACGTTTTCTGTGTGAACAGAAAAATCACTTACCAAATCTAGGGCAGAGCCCCCACCCAAATACTCCATGATGATCCATAGCTTTGTGTCCTGCATTGATGGAGACAGAAAAAGAACAGAAGCTCTTTACTGCTTGGCTGCATGCAAGGAGAAAACACACAGGCTCCCAAATCCAGACTCTTGACACAAAACTTCCTACAAGCCAGTGAAAACTTGAATAAGTTGTGATGACCCTATTAAGAGTCTGGTAGTCAGGTGGGTGTTTCAAATCATCTGAGGCTAATCCTTTTTTTAATTTGGGATTATTCACAAGGAAGAAGTGGGTTAGGGAAGAAAATCTCATTCCATCAGCTCATTTAAGATGCTGCTATGCCAGCTAAAACAAAAGTGTGCTATATGTCCAGTGCTTTGGAAAACCACTTGTTTAACTTTTTTTACACACTTTGTAATGATTACAATCATAAACATTAATGTACTACATTTGGATTTCATGAGACAGCCCACATACTCTTTCCTTTCACTATTACACACCATTTTGTGTTTAGCTAACGCATACAATTCAGTTAAACTACATGAAAGTATGTGGCTACGATGTAGCAAAAATGTAAACAATTACTGGAGGATATTGTGAATTTGTAATTAGGCGGCTACCTTCAGGTAAGAACCATAATACTTGGTAACAAACGGACTGTCGCATTGGCTCAGCACAGTGATCTCCTGCTGGATGTCTTCAATCTCGTCTTCCGCTTCCTCCAAGTCTATGATCTTAATGGCCACCACCTTCTGCGTGCGATTGTCGATGCCTTTGAATACCTCGCCAAAGGAACCCTTTCCGATGCGCTCCAACTTGGTAAACAGCTCCTCGGGGTCCACTCGGACATTCTGGTCGTTGACGGGAAGAAGCAAGGGGAAGGGAGAGGGAAGGTGGATTTAAATAAAAAATCATAATAAACAGAATGAAAGAAAGGTTGGGAGTAAGTCAGAAATGCTGGCAGGGTGGCATTCTTTCACTCATTGCAACACTTGGTTTATGTAAAGAGAGAGACACGGGAGAGGTAAAAAGGGGAAGAGTAATGACTGGATAACGTGCAGGTTCAAAATAAAAGTAATAAAATTAAAACCAACTGCTAAATTTATCATTTTATGTTTAATCCCTAGATAACCTTTAGTATGTTGATGACAGTATAAAGAATCACTAATCAGCTGAAGGCTACAACTTAACCTATAAAACAGCCATCATGGACTTCAAACATGACATTCAATGGAAAAACTGAACCAGGAAATGAATTTTCCACAATGTTCTATAGGCTATTTCTCTGTGGCACTCATATCATAGAGTGAAATGGGGAGAAAACAACTTGCGTACCACAGGAAGTGAACTAAAATGACTTAACTCTCCAGAGGCTGTTATGTGGAAAACACTAGAGTAGGCGCTGACAAAAAACAACTTCCTTTTATGACCTCTTTTGGCCAGAGAAATGCTCATTACATCCACTTTAAGGCAGAAGACTTTTGAAAAGAGACACTCTCATTGTTATGAAAAGACATCAAAAGCTGCTGAAAAGAAAATACACATTTTCCACAAAAAGCATTAAGAAAGGCATTTATGTTCAGCACTGTCAATTTAAAACCAGGGGTTTGCATGCGTCCCTGTTCCAACACACCTGAACCACACAGCTTAATTACCTCCTCAGTAAGTAGTCAAGTTTTCCTCATTGTTTGACTCAGGTGTGTTGAAGCAGAGATGCATTTAAAAGTTGCAGGACAGCCAGATGACTGAATTTGAGAAGACCTGGTTTAGGTGATTGGTCGTGTCTGGTAGGTTGAGTGTTGTCCTGAACTCTATTTAAAGATGATAAATTCAGCAGCTCTGAGGGTTTAATATGTAACCCAATCCTGCTTTAAACTTAAGAACTTTCCCTCTACCCGTCTGATGCCGTTTGCTCACCAATTTCTTAAAAAAAAAGAAGCCCTATTAAGTCTTAACTGAACAGCTGCATCCCTACTGAGATTAAATGACAGACTCAGTTGTACCCTTTATTCTGGTTTAATTGTCGTCTTTAGACAGTTTGTTCCTCTGAATCGTGCTATAGTAAAAGAGGAATTCAAATGTTTATGTATCCAAAAACTAGCATCCTACATGTTTTAGATGAGCCACTGCTCCAACACAGGTTTTAGAAATGGCTGGATTACTTCCTAAGCATGTCATCAGGTTCTACAGAACCTACAAATAAACAATTTTATCAAGGCGTGCTGGATCAGCGGAACATCAATAATATTCAGGACTGGACTTGACAACCCCTGAAGTCCCCCAGAGATGTTGCACTGTGCAACATTTCTCGGGGTTTCAATTACATGGCGTGGCATTTTTAGAATTTTAAATCCTGAGGTGTCTCGTGAGAATTTCCGAGCCATACTAAGGTCCTTAAACGCTTCATCTCACTAAGCTGTTTAGGTGCACAGCATTATTAACCCTCAACAGGGACTCGGTGTACAGTATGTTCTAATGCCCTCCCCTGCATAAAGTAAAACGAGCCTATTAAAAAACATTTCTTACCTGCATCCCCGGCAGGTTACCCTGAACGGGAGAATGGGCCATGATGAAGGCGACTGGGTTTGCTCCTCGTCCTGTAACGCGGGGGCTTAGATCGCCCCGGCTGTGATGCTTTCAACGCTATTAATCCTGTAGGATTCCTGGTTATCCAGATCTGAAGAGAACAGTTCTCGCTGCTGTTAAACTGTGACACCACCGTCCTCCCAACACTCACTGAAGTCCCCTTACAGTCACAGAACAGCCCAAAGAGTCCAAAAACAGCTGAACCCACTAACTGACGTCTGCTAACGCAGATGCTAGCTGCGAAGCTGCAAACAAGAAATCCGCAATGTTAGCATGCTAACCTGCTAGCTAAGCGTTAAATCCAATTTGTCGCTTTAGAAAGTTGAGCTGCTGTAACTAACCTTATCTCCGATAACTTATTTAGAAGCAACCGCTATTTATATTGGAACGAGCCCAAGTGTCACTTTGTAATTGTACAACGTCTCAGTAACGATGCTGTCAGAAAGCAAACATGGTTAGCAGGTTAGCTCCCAGAAGACCCGATAAACGGTCCTTGCGCGCGCCGCCGCGGAGCGCACTGTGTCTGCATCCGGCAAGAACAAGAGCCGGAGTCCGGGGTGCACCCAGCCTATATCTCCGCCCCGACCAGTCCTCAGCACCGCTTAAAACCTGGCGTCTTCAACAGGGGGGGCAGCTCACAGATGTTTTTGTTTCCTCCCTCACTTTCGACCCGTAATCTCGGCCATCTTGTCGGTGCCGTGACGCCGAGCTGGGCGGATCCGGATCATCAGCAGCAACATCCTGACATCTCAACAGCCTCGGTGCTGATGCCAGCCGCAGACTGACATTCCCATAGCTTGTAAGGAAACTTCCACCCCAAATTACTGATGCCCAAATGACTCCAAATTAATGACACAACCATTCGTCATGGATGGATTATTATTTTGACCAAAATTTGTAAAGTCCCTCTATTTCTTCATCTGCTTACATCTCTTCATGAGTTTACAAACACTGCTTTGCAAAGATATTCAAATCTCTAGATCTTTTTCACATTTTACCTTGTTAAAGCTACAAACCTCAGTGTATTTCATTATTTTGTGACGCATCAACACAAATTATACATTATTAGGCGGAAAGCATATGTACACAAATGGTTTTACAAAAAATATGAAAAGTGTGGCATGCAAACCCCTTTATTCTGATACCTTTAAATAAAACAAGAGAGACCTTTTATACATAAGTGCTGCCTATTGCTACTGTGTATGTCTCAGTGATGTTATTACATTCATAGTTTGTTGCTGTTTTTTTTGTATGGTTTTCTGTTTTGTTTTTATTTATGCATATGTAGAAGCAGATTTACAGGATGTTACCTTGTCTTCTCTTTATCCTTCCTTTTCTAATTTTACTGAAGTAGAAGAACCATTGACAATAGTGAGGTTTTTAACTTGACAATAACAGAGGTCCTGAGTGCTGTAATTTTAAACCATTCTTCCTAAAGATGGCAACTTAAATTATAAGTTACTCTGTAATTTTTAACCCTGACTTTAAGTGAAATCCCCTTGGACTGGAAATCTGTCCTTGTTACTCTAACAAGAAAGTGACCTCTGTATTTCAAACAATTGCAGACCAATCTCTAAATCCGTCTTTGCAAAAGTCCTGCTCAAAGGATATCTGACCATATATTCTATTTTTTTCTCCATTTCAGTCAGGTTTCTGCAAAAATCACAGTATTGTTCCCTCTATAACTGTAATTGATTGGTTACTGTAATCAAATGTCTTTCAGGTTTTGGAAAGTATCTCACTAGTAGACTCTACTTTTAATAAACTGACAATTATTTGAATGTTAAGGACCATATTCCCTTTTATATTATATAATTAAAAGTTATTTTAGGATCTTACTACAGAAGCAAGCCTTGCTTTTCTTGGTGCGTGAAACAGAAATTGGGGGAAACGACCTTTCTCCCTGTTGTGTACTTTGGAGACGTATGTAAACGTTTCCACTCCATTGTCCACACACACTAGATAATGGATTATTGAGATTTATCATCAACTGTGGTCAGCTTATTCAACATTGTGTGCTCTACTATAAAATTAACTGGACGTCTTCATGTATGTACAGGTCAGTCACTGGTGTGTGGTTATTTACAAAACTATTCTGGGTACTACTCCTTATCTATATTTTCTCTTAACAACAAAACATGAAAGTTGCCATCTGTAGGCCCCAAATTAGTCTAGACCTAAAAAAACTATTTGGTAATAAGACCGTGAAGTCCAAATAACTTTATGATTCTCATACTGTAGTCATAGTGGTCATTTTTCATGCATTCCCATGTTTTATAGGGAATGCATGATGTGCTTATTTGTTTTTAAGTCACACAGTTCTACAATGCCTTAACATTGATCACACTTTGTCATGATACAACCACAAACTTTACTGTGTTCTTTGGGGATTTATGTGACAGGCCAACACAAAGTAGCACATAATTAAAAAGCTGATGTAAAATTATTCATGGTTTTTGACATTTTTTCACAAGTAATCATAAAAATGTGGCTTGGTTTGCTCGTCTGACAACAACGCCCTTTTCAACATATTTTCTATGTCACACTTCAAAAAAGTCTGCTTATAGTTGTCCATGAACAGTAAAAAAACAAAACAAAACAAAAATAAACATTTTGGTTTGGTTGACAAGTGACCGGAAGAGGGCGCCATTGTGTTAACTTGAACCCAGCAGCATCCGGGGGTGATTTGGATGCCAGTTGCCAGTGGAACATTGCGTGCCGCAACAAGAAGCAGAGATGCGATTGACAGAAGACTGCAGATTGCCTGCATATTGACGGAAATAATAAGACAACCAACACGAAGAGCTGACAACGACCATTAGAAAAATAAGCCATTATGATTGGCGGATTTCCCCTGTCATGCAAACAGCCAACATGGCTGTTATTCTTTCTGTTCCATTTCTGTCTTATTACCCATGATCCACACATGACCCACTGTGTTTTAAATCTTCTGGTGAAAGGCTGAATTAGAAACCAAAACGCCTTTCCAGTAGCTCACATGCACGACTGAATACATGGAGGTATAAGCCCCCACTGGCAGAAGAAACCCCCGCATAAAAAGTGTGCGCTCAAAATGGAAAGCGCAGCCTCCCCTCCTTTGTGCGTAAACGATGCGGGGCCAGGACGGGAACACTTTGCTACCTTCATCTGAGAAAACCCGGCCGGTGAATGCTCAGTAGGGGAGGGGAGAAGGATAAAATCTGAAGAAGAAGAAAACGCCAGCATCAAGTGAGGGTCGCTTTCCAACGCAGCGGTCTGCCGAGGAGGAGCGCAGCGTCGCCACCTGGTTATATTCTGAGGCCGAGGAAGAGGAGAGGGAAAAGATGGACATCACCGACCAAGGAGCCCAAATGGAGCCGCTCTTACCCACGGTAAGCACACACCGATCTGGATGTTCAGTTTAACATGTGAGCGTAGTTTATTTCCTCTTTGGAATATATATATTTTAAAAAATCAGGCGAACGATTCATTTTGAGCGTTTCACTTTGCAGTCGTGACAGACATAAACGCTCCTGATCACACGGGGAAGGAATACAGTCTTAAATGAGCCACATTTCAGCTGAGAGTCCACGCAGCAAAACACAGATGCCCTCAATTACAGAAGTGGCGCACAGGTGGGATACACGGCAGCAACAGTTCTGCTTTGCAAATTGGCTTCCCTGCATCTCACCTATACATGTCGTCTATAGCGTGGATCATATGGTTAACATGGGTTTATACACCGCTGTCAAAGCTGGGATCAAGATGTTCCAGGAGCTGGAAGTGTTTGATCCCAGCAGGTTGGATGCACTGTAACCAGCTTCCTTTTAATCTTACAGAAAGATGGCACAGACATTTATAATGTAGCTCAGTTATATTAGTCAGTACAAGCACAAGCATCTTGATGTAGTTATCTTTTTTGATCTGCTGCTAGAGTTTAGAGTAATGGTTTAAAAAATGAACCTTAATCCAACCAGCAGTGTGATGGAGCAACACAAAGTAGTGCATCATGGTGAAATGAAAATGATCCACAGGTTTCTAAGCTTGTATAAAACAATTATTCTGAAAAGTGTTATGCATGTTTTCACTCCCTCTACCAAGATGCCTCTAAGCAAGTCCAGCGCAACAACTTCAATACTTTGTAGAGTCAACTTTAGCTATTTCAAGTCTTGAAATTGTTTCAAAATAACTCAGACTCTGGATAGAAAATTTAAAATTTAGATTTGTTTTTTAAATCCACTGTAGCCCTCCCTGTATGTTCAGCGTTTTCCTGTCGGAAGATGAAGGACTCAGGTTAATTCCAGAACTGCTCCATATAAATTGTTATCCAGCTTCCTTGTTTATGCTGAATAAAAGCATTCCCATACTTGAAGCTTTTCTAGGTCAAACATTTCTTGGTTTTCTCTCGCAAGGTTTTTTTTTCTTCTCAACAATCCCTTTTTTCTTGCCAACTGTGAAATTAGAGAAGTCCAAGACTAGTAGTTGTGCTCCAGACTCTACCACCTGAGCCGTGGGTCTTGCAGCTCTTCCCGAGCTACCGTAAGCTTTCTGGCTGCTTCTCTGATTAATGTTCTCGTTTCTCGCCCTTTCATTTTTGGCATTCAGCTGCGTCTTGGTAGGTTTGTATTCAGAAAGAGACTGAGTTAAATACAGATTCACTTTATTTTCTAATTAAATGTCTCCCAAAGCCAACTAGTATGCTGGATTTTATCATCATAAAAGCAGGTTAAATCATTTCTGATATTTGTTCAGTTTTCTTCCGCTTCACCCGTGTGCTCTTCCCAGTGAAATACAATAACGCCCGCGTCAAAACGTACTATTCCAAAGCACTGCCGCATGCATTAGTATTCAGGTGAGACTATGCCATTTTAAAATAATGAAAAAAAAGATGGCCACTCCATTGCATGCAGTGTCAGTGTGAGAGCAGGAAGATAGCATCCATTGTTTTGTGCAGAGCAGTAATAAAAAGCGCTGATTGCTCTGGAGGCCAATCAATAGTCCGACTGCTCTATTTGGGGTGGTGTTATGTGAGGACGTGGTTTTCTAGCATAAGGTGAAGCCTGTAACGCAGTTCCCCCCCTGCGCACTCAGTGCAGCATGGCTGCTTCCTTGTCATTGTAAGTCATTGCTGTCTCCCCTGGCCCCCCACACCGCCCGCTCCTACCCTGCAAGCTGCAAGTGTTGCCATAGTTTCACTCTGATGTGTATGGTTATGTGAGGTATTAGTTTGGCGAGCATCTCAGGGGATCTGTATACCAACTCGCTTTGCCGTGTTTCTGGGTTCCCAAGGTCAAACATGAAAGTACGACTGATTAAATTCTCGAGAGATTGCTTTTGAGTTTCTTAAATTATTTACAGTACAGCTTAAAGTATTAATACATGTTACACTGTCATGTAAAATCCTGTTGAAATACATTGAGGTTTGTGGGTTTTTTTTTTAGGAACATGTGATTATTTCAGAGTATTTGAATACTTAACTCCATTTTTTATGTTCAATAATTGGTTCAGAGTATATAGATTTTAACTTGTCTCATTGTTCTTTGACTTTCAGGAACAAAGTTCTCAAGAAAGTAAAGATGTGGTGAGTAGACTCCATCAGTATTTGCTTAAGTAAGATAGACTTGTTTTAATAACCCTTCATTTTTAAGTATTTATATCATAATTGTAATAACTTGATGGTAATGGTAGTTTCTGAGTGCACCAGTCTCTTACGTCAACATGTTGGATGTTTTTTGCCGTCTTTGACTTTGAGGTTGCATGGGTCTCTGGTTGGTCCACCATTGCCTTTCAATCAGATTGAGGTCTGCACTTTGACTAGGCCATCAGCTCCGTTATAGATTTGTTGGTGTATTTGGCATTACTGTCCAGTTCATGACCAGCTTCAGCCAAGCTGTTAGTCCGTGTCCTTTGACTGCGACACAGGCCTAAACCATAACCCTGCCAACCCATGCTGGACAGGTGGTGTGACGCATTTGTGCTCATGCAGCGTGTTTAGTTTCAACAGGGTAACATTCAATTATGGACAAATAATTCAGCATTATAATAAATTGTTCCAGAAGTGTTTTGTTTTGTTTAAATGTTGCCATGTTCTTTAGAGAAACAAAAGGCTTTCTCTTTGGAACGCTTCGAAGAAGCCATGTTGGGTCACTCTTTATTCTGACTGTGCTAACTGAGGTTTGTCGAATCTGTTATGGATTTCTTTAGTCTTTTGTTGTTTCTCTGAGCAATTCACTCTTGGGAAGAACAGATCCCCCCACACTGTCTCAAATGTCGTTCTCTTGTGAATAATTGTTCACTATAGACAGGTGGATTTAAATTGAATTCTTGTTTTTCACCTCAACACATTCCTACTTTTGAAGTTCACTTTGCCAGTTTAAGGTACATCTTGTTGTGAGTTCGTTTAATTTGGATAACTCCAGAATCAACTGTAGTTATTTTCTGCTAATATTACAATGGCATACAATGTTTCTTTGTTATTAAGAACACCAAAAGTATTATATTTCTATGTTACTGGTGTTTGTCCATCTTTTGTTCCCAGTGTAAAAATATTGGAGTTAAACTTGATGTCCCACAGCTGCAGTGGGTTAACTGTGATTAGCCAGCTTGCTTAGCAGATGTCGTGAATTATTGGATCCGAGTTGTGACACATGCCACAATGCATCTGGAATCCTCAGCAGGCCGTCTTCAATCAATAACAGGAATTAAGTGGAGTTGGAGCTTTCAACGCATTAAACGCTCTGAGGAGCTCCCCGTGTGAGAGTTGAAGCAGGCCCCCGAGCCAGTTCTGGAGGACGGCTATGAAGCGTGTTTGAGTTGTATGACATCCACTCTGATGAAATATTGCTTATGCAACTGATGGCTCATAGCCACACCGAGGACAGGACTAAACACAAAGTGGCAGACATTGGAAAAATGTTGCATCCTCCACTCAGATGAGGTCAAGGGTTCAGCAGGGCTGAAAGTATGGGCGCATGAAGCTGGGAGCTTTAGAAAAAAACTTTCATTTGTTTTATTTTTCAGGAAAAATATGTTAGAAACTGAGTAATGTCCACTGACTGAGTTTTTAGTGAGCAGATTTTCTTTTCTTTGCAGAACATTTTTACATGAGTTTATCTGAACAGAGTTCTGCTCAAATGAACTAACATTGCAAAAAGAAACTTATTTATTTACAGTGACCCAAAATAGTATTAAATTGACTTAAACTAAACATAATTGAACTACAATTAATTTAATTGACTGAAATTTAACTGCATGAACTTAAAGGTGATTAACTGAACTGAACACAATTGAATTCAGCTTTACATAATTGAACTGAACTACCTTATAAATGCATAGTAATTGCAGTCTTTATAAACTCGTGAATATACAGAGAGGGTTACGAAATCTGTCAATATTTGGAAAATTAGTAAGATGAAACAAATTCTGTTCAGTCTACCTGACCTAAATAGGTAAGGTTTTGTCTGATTTTATGTCAGTCTGTGAGACAAATGGTGTCACTTGTTTTTTTTTTGTTTTGTTTTTTTTTGAAGTGTAGGTAAATATCTGGTTTCAACTGAGCCTGAACAGAGTTAAATTGGAGATATGTTTTTGGTAATCAGTTACACAAGTAAAAAGTAGGACAGTAGATAAAGGAATTTGTCATGAGAAAGAAATCTAAGCAATCGGTACAGTCCACTATAAAATCCCAACAGTTCACGCAAAATCCACACGACTCGGAGTACATGCAGACAGTAAGTTTAAATATGTGGGAATCTAAAGTAACAGATTTTGGTCTCCTAGAAGCAGAGCTTGGATGATTCTGACCAGGATCCTCTGTCCTGGTATAGCAGGGTACATCTCCGGCTTGTGGACAACCAGCAGGGACAGTCAGAGGACGTGCGCTGATGTTGCCTGGGCTTATTCTTTGGAATGTTCTGTTCTTCTCAGATCAGTGAAAACGTTTTCCAACTTGGTGATTTGACTGTGAAAAACTGGCAGGCAGACAAAGAAGGGAGAGGAGCTGTAAGGTGAGAGATAAACAGTTAAATGAAGAGCAGTGGAATGAATAGTGTTTTTAATAGCTTTTGAAATGGGGAATTTTGAAATTATACCCTGTAAAGGTAGGAATTTTGATGTTGAACGTTTGTAGCATAGCAGAAGAATCTTCTCCTCCCTCTCTGTTCTGCTGACGATGCAGCTTAGCCAGAGAGCAGCTTCTTTACCTGAGGTAGGCTCAGCCAACACACATACATACACCAGCATCACAATGTACACATGCAGTGATCAGTGGGACTGCAGCAACTACAGCATGCACCGCTCCCCGCCTGCCGTGTTCAAGATGCGCCGTGATTCGTAGTGGGGAAAGTGTATGGACTTGTGCGAATCCCTCCCCCCCTCCCGTTGCAGGATGGCGTTTTTGGCTCCCTGTGACCTAAGACTCTTCTCTTGGGTAATGCTACACAACCCTATAGCTCAGAGAGTCAGCGGAGCAGAACGGTGCACAGCGCAGCATCAGTGATGTCAGAGCGCTAATCTCTCTGGGGGGATTGGCGGATGGACGCTTGTCAGAAGCATTTGATGCTGCCCTGGATGAAAGCCTTGGGAGGCAGAGCGAGAGACGGAGACAGAGACTGGAGCTGGAGCTGTGCTACTTTTCTTTTCGAATGCCGATGTTGTGGAGCCTTTGGGAGCGGGGCTGCTTCCACGTTCCTGCATGGGAAGAGTGACTGATGAGAGCGGCCGAGGAAGGAGAGGTTCTGACCGAGATGAGCCGACAGATGAGCTGACTCTGTCCTTCTCTGAGGTTTCCTCTCACTTTCTGTCCAACTCGCACAAGCATCCTGAGCTCAGAGTCAGAGTCAGGCCTCGAGCCCTCGCTTTTCATTTTCTACCACTGCTGCAAGCACAAGGGGAGTTAGCGGGAAACCTTTCATGAACACCATGATCTCAGTGGATCTCAATAAGGGATTTGTTCATCAGGTATGTTCCTTTGTTTTTGTATGTTCCTTTCCTGTTGCTGTATTAGCTGAAATTGATTTATTGTTTGGCTAGACAGTATCTGTAAAGTTTCAAAGTACCCTAAATAAGTATTTCTGTGACATATTTTCATAACTTTGTGGGAATTGGCTTGAGTCAGGTTGCCAGTGTCTAGGCTGCATCATCGTAGTGCAAGTAAAGTCTAGGTTCATGTTGTAAAATGAGAGCTAGTTCAGTTGGTTTATGAGTGAATACTCTAGAGGAGGGTGGCTGACAGATGGGACTGTCATTCTGGAGCTTATACTGTACTTGCTACTCCATGCTGTATAACCCTCACCCTAATTTATGATGCTGAAGACAAGCCAGGAATGCTAGATTGTTGCTGTCGATGTGGTTTTCGTCTTGTTTGATGGATATATGACGACACTGACTTGCCTCTAGTTGATTGACCAGATTTGCTGCTTGCACTGTGTCTCCTGCTCTGTCCGAGAGAACAGGTGATGTAGCGCTGTCCCCTGGGTACTTTGCGTACTGTGCTCTGTACGCCACCAGCGCTGATCCTGCTGCCACTGCCACGGTCACCACAGCCATCTGTGGGGGTGAAAACCATGACAACAGAAGCTGTCAGCCAATCGCAGATCTTGTACTTTTGTCACTGATAATCCGTGTTCCCTGTGTGCGATCTACAACAATCACCGTGGCTCCTAACACTTGCAGAAAGTCCACTAAGGCAGATTGAGATTAAAGAGATTGACATTATGCAACTGTGTTTAGAGCAGGATGGGCCACTTGCATGGCTACTTCTGCGTGCACGGTGAAGGACAAATGCCTCGTTTTGTATGATTTTTTTACTGCACTCTACCTGTCCTATTTCTCAGCGCCTGAAATTGTAAACATTCATCAACCCTGCCGCTGTGGTAGCCTCAGGAGAGATTGTTGAAGGGCACAGAAAGGAGGTCGCATATCTTCTTCCCAGTGAGCATTGTTACTGAACACAGATTCCTGGACAGTAGCCTGTGAGACTCAATGAACCTGGGATTTACTCTGGCCTAAAAAATGCCATATGATAGTTGAAAACATCTGTGTTTCTTTATCTCCTGTTGGCTGCATTTGGGATCTTCTGTTCAGTATATCAAAAGATTTAGTCCTCACTTGTACAATGCACTGCAAACATAATCACACCATTTGAATTTCAATATATTATACTGGGACTTCATGCAATTTCTCAAAGTAGTGCATAATTGTAAACTGGAAAGTTCCATCTGTTGAATCTAGGTGTGTGTAATTTAATCTGTAAATCCAGTTCTGTGAAGGCCCCACAGGCTTGTTGGAGAATATTTCAGAACAAGCAGTACCACACAGCAGAGAAATACAGCAGACAGGTCAGAGAGAAAGTTCTGGGAAGATTTAAAGCAGAGTTTCATTGTAAAACAATATCTGGAGCTTTGAATGTCTTATAAAACACTATTATCTGGAAATGGAAAGAGTAAGCCAAAGCACAATGGAGTAGAAACCTACCAATATATGGTTGCCTACCTCAAATGACAGGTCCCGCAAAAATGGCATTAAACAAAGAAGCAACTAAGATGCACATGATAACCCTCTCAAGTTCAGGTGGGAGAATAT